TGTCTATAAGTACCTCAAGGGAGGCAGTGAGGAGGATGGTGCTGGCCTCTTTTCACTGGTGGCCACTGATAGGACTAGAGGAAATGGCCGGAAACTGAAGCACCAAAAGTTCCACAGGAACTTAAGGAACATTTTCTTAACAGTGAGGGTGACAGAGCACTGGAACAGGCTGCCCAGAGAGGTTGTGGAGTCTCCTCTGGAGATCTTCAAAACCCGCTTGGACGCAGTCCTGTGCCACGTGCTCTAGGTGACCCTGCGTGTGCAGGGGGGTTGGACTGGATGATCTCTAGAGGTCCCTTCCAACCTTAAACATTCTGTGATTCTATGATTCTATGATCTATCTTTGCATGTTGCACATACTGTTCCTTCCTCCACTATGTTACTAATCTACTTGGCATGACTTTGTCTGCTTCCCATGTATATATAACACACAATTTTATGCCTAAACTTAATATTTTGACCGACGTTCTCTCAATTCTCTCAATTAGCCAAGTAGTTACTGACTTTAAACTTTATGCTTTGCATTATATTGTTTGTGCTGAAGTTTACCTTGATCTGAATCTTGAACTACTGCAATATAAACAAATTATTGACCAAAGAAAAAGTTAATCAAGGCTGACTTTTCATACTGATCTTATAAAAGAAATTTCAAATTATGTAGGACTATTATGTCTAATGGCCATATTATATCATGCTTTTGATTATATTACTTATTTTCTTAAGTACTCATTATGTATTGCTTGCTACATTCTCCTGTAGTATCCACTTTCTATATAATTATGTATGCATTATTTTAGTGAGCGTATTTGCTGCCTATTTTCCTTTTACTGCTTCCTGTAGAAAATGTAAGAAAAGTTATTCTGCAGTCTTGTGTGCTAAAATAGGCATGTCAAGAAATATGAGTTTTCATGTACTCTCTAAAAGAGAGAATACATTTCTTGAAGATATTTGGTGATTAAATTCAGAATAAATGAGTAGACAAGATGGTTAAATAAAATATGTAAAATCTTATGTAATTTATGGATTGAGGTTTTGGTATTTTGCATTCATTTTCACTTTAATCAAATAAGAATTAATTATGCATTGTTCCAGCCATTAAGTTATTCCAACAAATTGTTGTGCATTAGGGACACCATGTTAGCAGCAAGGATGAATAGATTTGAATCCTTCTTTCCCAGGGCATCCTCAAGAAAACAGAAGCAAATGTAATGTGAATGCTGAAAGAAATAAGCATTCTTCAGCCTTACAATACTGTATATATTTAACATCTCATTTACTACCATGCCATCAACTATTTTTGGCTGCTGTCCATAGACCTTCTATTTCCATTGTTTATTAATATGCAATGTATTCAGCAATTATCCTGCCTTTTTTCATTAGTACTTAAATGTTCCTTTTTTGGCCAAGAAATAACAATACAGTAAAAATCTCAATTAGCTTCCTCTCAACTATTCATGACAGATACTTCTGTCTCCAGCTGTTAATTGCACTAAATCTTCATTGATAGTTTCAGTGAACACAATTATAGAAAATGATGATGCATATTTTTGGAAAAAATCTGATGAAATGAGAGGGTGCAATTTTTTACTTGCTACAAGTGTCTCCTGGATTAAGTAAACATATTAAAGCAGGGTGGATGTGTGACAGTGGTTTGGGTTTTGTTTTTGGTTTCTGTGTGGAAGTACAGTCCACTAAATACTTAAGAAAAGTACCACTGTTTTATTCAATACAGAGTATTTTGTCATTATGTTTTACTCACTGGAAAGTGCACTACTGCACATTCTAGGTTTGTCTAACCTGTTGCACTCCACAATCCTTCAGCAGTAAATGAGACTACATGCTAGCTAATCTCATGGTCTTCTTTCACAACTGATACATGATAAAAAAAAATAATGATCTGTATCTGGATAATAGTTTTCAACACTGTCATGCAGAAAATCTCTTGCAAAGTATACAAGAGCCTATGTGAGGAATAAACCTTTTTTTTTGCTTTTTAGTTTCTGCCAGGTTTCAAAGCCTTTATCAACATGCCATTTCATTATGCAGGTTGGTTGCTCCCAATTTCTTCAGATCTGTTTTCTTCATCACTCTGAGGTCTTCACTACTTTTTTTCTTCCACTTTTCCATGTGCTCTTCCTGTGCAGCTTATTCTTTTAATCTTTTCTTTGTGATCTTTGTGTGATCTTTCACATTCACAAGCATATCTATTTTCCTTATATCTTTCTAGATGATCCCTTTTGGGAAGATCCTCCTACCTATTTTCCTACCTATTTTGTGAGCCTTTTTTTTTTCCCTAGTCTTCCTCAGGGAAGATATATTGACAGCTCAAACTCAAAATGGGTGTAGGACTGAATGTTATCTTTTCTCTTCAACATTTCCACCATCCTACTTGCCACCCGAGCTTATATATCTGTGCTAGTCAAGCTTGTTACATCTTCCTCCACAATTTAAGGAAAGTCTGGCCCCTTCTTGCTCTACAGACAACTGTCACTTTTCATGGACTTCTTCAATTTTCAAGACTTCTTATCCATCTCCCTCAACATCCGTATTGCTTTTTCCTTCAGTTCCTCCAAGATAAAACTAGTAATATTGTTCTCTTATCAGTAGAACCATGTCCACTTTTTTAAGACCTTCATCTTTATATTCAAGTTTTGACACATAGTTCTGTTGCAACAAATAAATCAGATCAAGTCTCCCATTTCTTCATCCCAGCCACTCTGCAACATCAAAATATAAAGGCCATATATTCTTAGTTATTCTGTCATCGCCTGTGCCTACCATTACTTCACTGTCAGTGAACTGTCAGTCCCTTTAATTCTTTGTCTACCTATCCTCTTTTTCTGCAGCAAACAAAGGTGATAAACTCTTAGCCATATGGATAAGGAAAAACTGAAACTTCAGTCACTGACACTGGGGATGTTCCACTTAACACTGCCTTTTCTGTATCTTTCTCATGTCTTTGGGGAAAAGTTCTACTATTTTTATCGTATGTGGCACATTAGTCTATTTTTAGCCCTAAGCTAATTTATTAATCCTCTTGAGAGTTGCTGCATGGTTGTAAATGGATTTAAACAAAAATTAGCTGGCTGAAGCCTTGCTTTCGTAAGCCATTATGTGTGAAAAATATTCATAGATATCAGAGACTGGAGATATCTATTTGATGATTATATTCTTTAGTGGAATTACTCTTGACAAGATATTCTCAGTCAAGTCACATTTTCAAGTAATAGATCTACTACTATGTCTCTTGGGATACTTCTTTACTGCGCAGCCTAATAGATCACATTTAGAAAGCAGTTGGTAAGGATGTAATGCATTCTTTAAAACTGCCAGAGATTGTCACTACCATATTGTTGACAAGGCCTGCCCTCTGAATATATTATTTTTGTGCTTTTAAAAGTGCCTTAGGCCATGCTTCTCCTCAAGTAACCCAGTGAACTAATCTGATTTGAATATTTCAAAAGCCTTTTGCCATATTTTTGAAAACTCTTCTTTTCCAAACTCAGGGTCTCTTGAGAATGAACATTTTCTGCATTGCAGGGATCCAGTGAGGGGGAGTGAAATGCAGGACATCCACATAAGCTTCGAAACATATTGAAAAAACTCCTCTTTAGCTCACCAGAAATTCAGAATATATAAAATATGTTCTGATGAAATGTAGAGCAGGCTTTTTCCAAACTGGCATCAACTAAATGCTATTTTAGCAGACCATTCATTGTTGCCAATTTGCCAGTAGGTACAATGTCTAAAACCTGTTAAAAAATGAACTTTATCTGAGAGAATATTGGAGGAAAGTAGTGGAAAACTTGGTTGCTGTGAATGTCTCTCCATACTCCAAGAAAAACCTCAGAGGTGACATTTTCAGGAAGCACAACATATGATTAGCCCTGCTGTGAGCAAATAAAGTCACTGAGTGACTCCCATTGCAGTTGTGTGCAGAGCAGGACTCCCTCTGCAGAGTCCTCTGCTTCATCACCCTCTGCCCATCACGAAGCTGGGATGTCACCATGATAACGTTTTGCGACATTTAGAACCTGGTAATTTATGCGTTAGCAGCTCAAAGATTGCAGTAACAAGCGTGTCCAGCCCTTTGCTAGTGGTGAGAGCTGCAATGAGGACGTCTAGCTTAGTTATTTTATCACATCATGAGGGAAGATTTCCATTTCATATTGTTGTATATTATAATCAATATACAACAGTCACTTCAGGGCCAAATAACTTCAGGGACAAAGGTAGTGAGTGTTGAAATCCCTTAGACTGTTAAAGCAATAACAAGTTTTGCCTATACCAATTCCCTCAATGATAGAGAGAGAAGGGATACTCAAATAGTGGACCATTAAGCAGTTCGTTTGACTTCATTTTGATAGTCAGTGAAGTGTATTATTGTTTTACTTTTAAATTGAAAAAAAAGCTTACAAAAATAATGTTTCAGTCCTATTTTGAGATACTTAAGGCAGACAAAATGCAGCTAAAGTAAAACTGCCCTTGAACCATGAACAAATGTGCATTAACACCAGAGGAAGGTTTCCCATTGATTACACCATGCATTGTGTTTGCCCAAAAGTAACCCAGAAGGCACTCCATTAAGGACATGATCTTTTTCGACACATGTATTAGGTCCTGAAAACATGCAGATGAGCAGTCCAGTCCCCCCTGGAGGTCCCTGCCCATTGGTGTTTTCAGGGCTGAAATTTTAGAGTTAGGTAGCAATATTTATATTGCTGTGGAGAAGTGAATGGCAATAAATTTCATATCACAAAATTCTCTCATATTTGTTTTCCAGCTAGTGGAACGAGTCCATTTTTCTCATATCTTTTTTGGGCATCCCCACATATTGTCATGTATGGCCATAGGAAAGATTAAGTAATAAAAAGAATCAGAAAAGTTTTACTTTGATGATTTTTATAACAAAAGGCAGTGGATACCTAAAATACGTGTGCTGTTTTTTCTCGTAACTTAGATATCTTATGATTTCTGTTGTGTTTCATTCATTTAGGCCTTTCTCTGAGATCTGCCCGTTGCATAGCCATACGTATTAGATGACTTTGGGACCTGCTTTCCAACGACCATGAAGGGATTATCCAGCAGCCGTAGTCATCATCATGGGGTTGCCTGTGACCCACAGTGTGACAGCCTGCCACATCACCCAGACAGGAAGCCATATTTGTTAAATCCAGTGGACCCTCACCCAGCAGATCACCCTTACTACACTCAAAGGAACTCTTTCCAGGCAGAATGCATGGTGCCCTACAGCGATCAGATTGCCAGCAGCACTTTTCCTCGGAGACATTACAATTCTCACCACGAACTTAAGGACGAGTGTGCTCTCGTTCTTTTGGACCAGTTTGAGCGACAGTTGCCTCTGAATCGCGATGGCTACCATACGCTGCAGTACAAGCGGACTGCCTTGGAGCACCGCAGTGACAGCCCAGGGAGGATCCGGCATTTGGTCCATTCTGTCCAAAAGCTCTTTACCAAGTCCCATTCACTTGAGGGACCCTCCAAGGGGAGCGTCAATGGGGGCAAAGCGAGCCCGGAGGAGTCACAGACAATGAGGTATGGGAAGCGCAGCAAGAGTAAAGAAAGGCGATCAGAAGGTAAGCCCAGATCCAATGCCTCAGGATGGTGGAGTTCAGATGACAACCTGGACAACGATGTTTGCATTTATCATGGCCCCAGTGGGGTCATGACCATGGGAAGGTGCCCTGATCGTTCTTCTTCCCAGTACTTTATGGAAGCCTATAACACTATTAGTGAACATACTGTGAAGTCATCCAGAAGCAATAATGATGTCAAATGCTCTACCTGTGCAAACCTGCCTGTAAATCTGGACTCCCAGTTAATGAAGAAAAGCTCTTGGTCCTCTACACTAACCGTGAGCAGAGCCCGCGAAGTTTACCAGAAAGCATCAGTTAACATGGACCAGACAGTTGTGAAGGCAGAGACATGTCAACAGGAACGGTCATGTCAGTACCTTCAGGTACAGTGTGGAGAACTGATTGCTCTTAACCGTGCTCTGCCTTGTTGCAGGTTTTTGTGGGGGTTGGAGGTTTGTTCTGATATTTTGTTCTGCCGGAGGGCTCCCTGAGCACAAAATAAGGGATAATGAAGCTGATTTTTTTTCTTTTTTTTTTTTTTCGCCAATATTCAGTATTTCACAGAAGCAAGTTTTACTGGAATAGGCTTAACTTTTTCATATGGAAAAAAATAAGACCTTTCTATGTCCTTTTTGAATTTAGAAGGCATTCACAGTAGGGGTATAGAGAAATTGATGTTGTAGTGCTTATAGTTAGCATTGCAGTGTCAATTAACAGACGTTACCAGGATACAGATTCTTTGATTTCTGTAATTTCAGGATTTGCCTTCAATTATTGCCTATTTTATTATGAAAGCTTTGGAGACCCTTTTGAGAAACTTAGAGGTACCATAGTACTCCCTGCAGCAGAAAAACAATCTACATTTCTTTTTGCCTTTTAATATAAAATCTGATAAAATAGTTATTGTAAAGTGTCCAGATTTGTTTATCTGGCTATTTCTCTTTCTCGTGGCTTTGATTCAAAAGTATAAAAGCAAAAGGTTGAAATTATTGCTTGTTCTGATTATACATTTTAGGAGTACATCACCTACTCCCTCACAAGCTGTTTGCAGTTAATACAGCGTCACTATTTTTCACCAGTATTGTATCTTTAAATGTCAAGAATCAGATGTCTGCTCTTGGAGCTATCATACTGCCGGTGAATGTTTGTGGCAGGAACATGGATCAGGAAATATTAAAACTGTTTCATTCTTAGAAGAGCTGTGGATAGCTTTTATGCACTTTAAACAACGCTATTATGGCACATCTAAGTGTATGTGTAAGATGGAACAACGTTGCACAGAGAAGAGAGAAGACCATGAGGAAAAAGGAGGTTTGCTAACACAATTTGGTTTCATTTTAATATATTGGGGGCTTCGTTTTAATATAGGGAATCCTGTCTATTCATGTAGAAATTGTAACGAGTTTTCTCATAGGAGTACTTTAATGAAACATACAGCTTCCACATTCTGTTGTTGTTGTAAGTCAGTACTTAGGGAAGGCGTAGGACTGAGGGATCTACGTTTAAAATTTGATCTTAAGAGGAATTATTGAATGGCATGCAAAATAATTTTGAATGCAGACCTCTGGGATTCTAGGTTTTAATTGTAAAAAAAATGGATGTGTGTATTTTCTGGTAATTGTTAGGAGAAAGGGGCAGTGGGGGTAAGAAGACAGTATGAAGGTATGTGTTTACAGCTGTGCATATGGACTGGGGAGGGACAGAGACTTCAAAATAGCCTAAGGTTACAACCTTTTAAGATTGCTTGTGTTAAGTTGCTTTGATCTGCGTTTTGTGATTCAGAAGAAATTGTAATTTTGGACTAGGTTGTTATGCTTACTTTGGACATTTCTTTTGTTTATGTTTTTGTTTTCTCCATCAGTTTTCCACACAGATTTCAGTAAAATAGCCAACAATTCAGTGTGCGGCCAAATGGCTAGAAAAGAGTGAAAAACTGTGCCAGTGTCAGCTTTAAGCGAACACCTCCATAGGGACTTTTAGATAATCTTTAACTGACAGGAATAGACTCTTGAAGTGGAATTAGAGGACATTATCTATGTCTTTATGAAAATACATCCAACAATTGTCAAGGGCAGGTATTAGACTGATGAAATTCAGACTATTTCCCATCCTGTTTGTGTCCTCAGTGGTCGTTTAAGTTCATTTTCCATTTAATTCCACTTTTTTTTCTAATTGCATGTCTATTTGTAAAATTCAGGGAAATACAACATTGGAGTTGAAATTGTTAAAATACAGAAGAAGGTCTTAATCAGGCTTTGATTATCATTGCAAAGAATATTCAGACAGCTAAATAAACTAGGTAGATTTAAGGGAGCAGACTGGGATTATTCTACTCCCTTGGCATCTTAAAAAGATAACAAACAGATGCAGATATTAAAAAGTCACTCTTTATTTTTAATGCATCCTCCTGCCTTTCCCTGCACTGTATCTCTCTTCTTTTTACACTACAAGCCCTCTGGGGCATGGGCTTTGTTTCCTTTTGTGTTTCTACAGTGTCCAGCACAATGGGGCCCAAATGCCACTGAGGCCTTTTGGCCACCCCGCAGTATAAATATATATTAGCAACAGCAGAGTATCACTCTAGTAGTGGGCTGTAAAGGTATTCCAAATATCTGCTATTTTTCTGGTGACCTTTTGATCGCTGTGCCAAAAGAGTGCTGTCCTAGATTCTTCAGAAATGCGCTGAATCAAACAAAAGCTACTTGGCCACAAATTTATGACAGTACAGGATAGCTTATTATTAAAGTTAGAAATTATACTTTAGCTAGCATACTTTAACTAGTATGATATTTCTTCTTTGTTTCATTTATCTCATTAAATGTGGCATAGGTCTTCTTATCAACTCACTTGTACTTTAAGCTGTTGTTATGGTCCAGAACATAAATTCTGCGGTCCCTGCAAGACTGAACTATTTTGTTCATGCAAACCATTCTAGTTATAATATCACAATGAGTGAGTGACTTTTTTAAAACTCAGTATACATGAAAATTTTCCTTTTTCTATACTTCTGAATATATGAGAGATCACAGATTAAATTCAGTATGCATTTGCTTCTAGCAGCTTTTATCACACAAGTATCATCTGGTTTAATTTTCAGTCTAAAGACATTGAAATAACAAACAATTATCTCACTTGGTGTGATATTTTCCACATAGTCATTCTGTGGAAGGAGCTGGCAGTAGCTCTTGTTACAGATGGGCTAATTTCTCATAATTTGGAGTTTGGATCATGTGCAGAGTTCCCTTGCACTGTGCAATTTTTCCTTATCCCCCAATGGACTCTCTTTCTATCCTGTGTATTTAACTGCATCTTTGGAGTTTCAAGAAAAGGAGTAACTAGGAGTATCTGACTTAACTTCATATGTCTTTTGAAGTAGATACAAGCTCCTGGAATAATTAAAAGCCTGTCCAATAATGCCTTTCCTCTCATTTGCATTTCTGGAATGGAATTGTTCTGCTCTCTTCTGTTTCTTCCGTCAAGAACAAGGGGCAGGATAGCGTTCACCATTAAAGTTTCATATTATTTTTTATATTTGATAAAGCAGGAAAGGAAGCTTTGGTGTTAAGAAGTAAGGTAAGGTGATTTTTGAACTATTTCTTGCTTCAGGAAAATATTTTAATTTCATCAAAGTTTACTTTGTTCCTGTTTTCTCTAAATTTTGATTTAAAAATAACTTTCCATTCCTAGAGAGAATAATCTATAAAGCACTGAGAAACTTCTCTGTCAGCTTCTTCTTCAGAATACTTAAAATTAAGCAGAACTATCAAAGATGAAATGTAAGCAACAGTATTTTTTTTCTGAGAACCATAGGGTCTAAATACACTCTTGTTTTCTATGAATTCTTGACTGACTGTTGAAGCTAATAGAGTATCTATCCGATATACTGCACATTTTGTCTCTAATTAAGGTTTTGGCATTCAGTATTCCCTATAGTTCCCATAGGCTTTGGCCCATTTGTTAACAGAGAGAGAAAAATGCAAAGATGATATTCTTCCTATTATTCCTTTTTTCTTTCAATGTGAGTCAGTTAGATGAGGCTGACATCAGTTGTATCAGATATATGCGACTAAGGAAGGAAAGTGAAGGGCTGTAGGTCAGGAAGCCTGCGCTCCTTTGGTGGTAGACCAGGGGATACGCTATGAAAACTGTGAGCAAAGTTCCTGCATGGGATAAACATTTCCTGGTTTATCACAGCATGGATCTGCTAGCAGAGGGCTCTGATTGTGTTCCGTGTCCTATGTGAATGTTGTCTGTGATGTGCAGTAAGTCTTTTAGTGTTAAGAAACTCATATAAAATAACTTGCTTGCCAGCCTACTGCAAACCAGGTGAAATGATTATCCTTACGACACAGTAATTTATCCTAGGTCTGTTGTACTGGATTTATGTGTACATGTCTATCTGGATTTTCAATTTTTTTTTTCCTCATTGGTGATGTTTACATTTCTGTCACAATTACTGTATTTAAATTAATCTTTCCGTATGTCCTTGTGTATATATATGGAAGTTGTGTTTTAATATTCACTCATATTGAGCTCTTTTCAGTTGTAAAAAATGTTGTCGGATGGGGAACATGAAGAATTAGTGAGGTCATGGGATTTAGGACAGACTGGAATTATAATTAAAGCAGAAATATTTATTTACATATATATATATATATTCATAACAGTTCAGCTGAGCCTATATCTTGATTATATTCAAGATGCCTATTCAAGATGCCTTGACCTATTCAAGATGCCTTTGCTGTATTAGGAGAAAAAGTAGGAGAACATATTAATATAGCTCTCCCCTTGACCCTTGGAATCCTTTAGTTTACCTAAAAATATTTTGTTAGAATTATTATTATTGGTGGTGAGAATTATCTTGCTAACTCTATTACCTTAATGACTTCTATGTTCTCATTCATTTGATGAAAGCCTGGACCAACTTTTGGTGTCTGAGTAATACAGTAATGGTACAGTAATGGTACAGTAATGGTATAGTAATGGTACAGTAATACTACCTAACTGCTGGTGTATGGCAAAGACAGTACTTCAAATGTAGCTAGATCTTATCTGCCCTTGTACCTAAGCTTGTCATTTTCTATCCTTTAATTTTACCAGCATACTTTATTTTTTTTTAATATTGAATGCTCCAGCACCAATGTAACAACATATTAACATGAAGAATTACTTGTGTTTCATCTTCTTAGCATCCCTATGTTCTAATAGCTCATCCATTAATGAACATAGTTCTGTTAACTGGATCCCTATTATGTGTTATGAGCATACACAATATAGGATCTAGCAACATAATTGGGTGACTCTAAGTTTTACATATTCTTTGAGTTGGAGATATTTATGCAAATTAGGGCAGCATATAAAAACTAGTGTTTGATGTACATTC